GTCGTTAAAAGACAGAGACTTGAATACGGCAACAAGTCCAGAAATTGCAGAGGAAAATCCAATTACATTTTCCGAGTTATGCATTTTCAGCGGCGGAAAATTACTCAGTTTATCTAGGTGAGCCCCTACTACAGCATGCGGCTGCCCGAATTTTCTTTGAAGAGTTGCTAATGCGTCTTTATATAGTACTCCGCTATAGCTATACTCAGCGATTGCGGATTTTGCTTTACCCACTACAAGCGTTTTCAGATAGGTAAGCTTTTCATCGTCACTGAGTATGGCTGAATCGACCGTCGATGTGAATTGCCCAAACCACTCATGCCAATTAAGTGGGTTGCCATCGAACTGGGTCAGCTTCCACTCAGGGAGATGATCTTTTCGGCTGTGCATGAGTATATTAACCAACTCTCGTGTCGAAAGTGGACGCTCGACGTCTGCACCAGGTGAATTACCGGGAGTTGGCTCTGTGTAATTCGAAGAGTTACCGTGACAATCAGGAACGAACGGTTGATTAGCTTGTGAAAAGTTCTCAGGCTGCGCAAAGAACACAGTCCCTCCACTTGTATAAGGAACAAAATTATTCGTAGGAACAATCGGAGTTACTGCGGAAAAAACAGTTGTCGAAGGAACGTAGTGCTGTTGAGTTGACATTAAAGGGGTAGCAACAGCTGGTCTCCACAAATTACTATAAGGATTGTAGTGGTCACTTGAAAAGTTATAACTACTAACGGGAACACCCATATGTTGTTGTGATGGGGCTACAGGTGCTTGGTAGCCAGCTACTACTGATCCTGCAGTGTGATGACTTAAAGAAACATGATTAACTGCTGTTGATGCAGGAACAAACGGTGTTACACCAGAAGGAACTTCTGCAGATGATGGCGGAGCAAAATAGTTTTCAGAAGTTACAGGAACTACTGAACCTGTGTTTGGATTGCCTAGCCCCGGACGAGTGGACAAAAAAGTTTGCTGAGGCAAATTATTGGAAACAGGTTGCATGACCTGCTGTAACCCTACTGGATTGTTAACGGAAACCTGCGATCGAACCAAATTCGACAAATTATGTTGTTGTCCGTGAATGTGGTTACTGTAATACAATCCCGGATCACTAGAAGCTGCCTGGCCATTATTCACTCCTGTAAAACTTGATGAGACCAAGTAATTTGTTGATGCAGGATAAGTTGCCTCAGGAGCTGTTGAACGAACGTGCTGCTCTTGATTGGGAACTACAACAGCATCAGGCTGATTGTGGTCGACAGATTCGACCCAGTGACGCGTACGATCCTTTTCGTCTATTGTTAGTTGTGGAGAGATTCGAGTTAAACCACTTTCCTCAGCATTCTCGCTGATTTCCGACAACTCATCTTCTAACTCAAGCCCTTTCAACTCAATTTCTGCCAGTTTTTTCCTATGTTCTTCAGCCAATTCTTCCAACTCTAAACTGCTTTGTTGTTCTAAAACATATTGTTTCATCTTGTTTTGCTGCTCTTTCAGTCTTAATGATACCTTTGCCTGCCTCTCAAGTTCCTCTTGTTGTTTCTTTAAAATCATTAAGTCGCGTTTTTTCTCAGAAAGTGTTTTCGACGGAGCGGCGGTATAACTAGATTTCTGAGAACCTGATTGCTGATGTCGGCTGCTTCGGTGCGACAACTTAGAGCGGGTATCTGTTTTATGCGACCGGGGTTTTTCACTTTTTTCAGAATGATGAGAAACTTTTGAGCTGCTATCTATTTTGTCCGGCTCTGTTACTGCCTCAAAACTTGTTTTATATGTGATAGCTTCCTGCAGAACTTTATCGTTGCTTTGAGTCAACTTATGAAGCCACATATCCTGTGCCGGTATCAATTCGTCGGGATTGGCACTTTTTGCAGCCATATCAATCAACTCAGTATTTATCTCGACCACTTGTTCTATATAGTTCCTACATTTTTCAATATAAGTATCAATTTTTGAGCAACGACTCTGACTCTCTAGGTATTCTAAAATTATTTCATGGCATTTATAAAGTTCGTTTTCGAGATTGCTACGTTTCTCAAACAACTTCTTAATTTTCTTCTGAAACTTAACTTCCATGCTTAATAATTTCAGAAATAAACGACTCTCAGAAAAACTGTATTTTCACTCAAGTAAATCCACAAATACTTTTACCTGGCGTTCAAGTCCAAGCTTAAACCGGGCTTTGTGAAACAAGTCTCTTTCACGCGCTTTTGAGACGGCGCGGATAGTGTACGGAGCGCGTGATCTAGAGAACTAGCTCCTAGAATGAATACCATACACTCAAGAGACCTATGCGACGGCTACGTTACGCTAAAGTACCAATGGGGTGGGGAAATTAAGTAGGTCGGTTGAACTCCAACAACGCACACGGAGTAAACCTGAGGATGAAAGAATTCAACTTAACTCACTTATTATCACCGTACCTGGCCACTTAACATTAGTGTCGCGCAACGAAGTCAATAATCGGACGAGCTGAAACGGCTTAGATTCACTTGAACCAATGGGGTGGGGAAATTAAGTAGGTCGGTTGAACTCCAACAACGCACACGGAGTAAACCTGAGGATGAAAGAATTCAACTTAACTCACTTATTATCACCGTACCTGGCCACTTAACATTAGTGTCGCGCAACGAAGTCAATAATCGGACGGGCTGAAACGGCTTAGAATTACTTGAAGCGTACTGGCTTTCAGTTTCAACAATGTGGGTGGGGGATCAGGCAAATTGGTTAAGTTCCAACAACACACGCGGAAAAAACCTGAGGATGAAAAAACTCAACTTAATTTGCCTGATATTACGCTACCAGACCACTTACTATAAGGTTGGTGTCATGTTACAGCACAGTTTCGCAGAATTATGGGGACGTTTTGAGGAATTTTTGGCAATTTTTTTTACTTTTTTCCCAAAATTTTTCGGAAAACTTTGGTCAGCAGGTTCGAGTCGTAAACCAATCCAAAAAACTAGTCCAGTACCTCTTGTCTATGGTCCAATTTTTTGGATTTTCAATCCGTTCACAATTACCCAAAAATTTGTGGTATCTGGAAAAAATTACCACTTGTAGCTTGCTTTGAGTTGGGATACACAATAGAACACCGTATGTAATTTTATTGCACAATAAATTTATAAAAACTAGATGAGTCTTACAGTTTTTGACGGTTTTGGAGATTGGGCGGTCACCGGTTTTGGGTTGTCAAGCCTTCGGTCTGTCACAGAGAAATTGTTCGGCAATCACTACTCTAACTTGCACAAAAAGTCCGTAACTGACAGGGCACTCGACAGTCAGAATACCTGTTTGTAGGCCTACGATTGAGGGCTGCTGCCCAGCACCTGTATCTAGGCCTCAATTCCAGGAACTCCGGATAGGTTGTGGCAAATAATACTTCGTTTACTTCGCGGTTCAATCGGGATGCCGCTCAACAAAAGCTTCACCACTACACAAAGACAATTTCCAGCCGCATGTTCCAAATAGAATCGGCGGCCATTGAATTATTCCAAGATAATATTTCTAATGAATGTGATCAAATAAGCGTTGATCCAAATAGCAGCCGACAGTCATGCCAGATTGGGTTAGCAAGGAGTGCGGCTTTAGACGATAAAGAACAGTCCGACTTGGCTGCCAGCTCTTTTCCTGATTCTCAAAACACCTTATCGTTGGATTTATTGAGTGCACAATCGAAATATTACCCTAAATCGTGCCCTGAAATTGTCAACAATAAACTGCAGTCAACTTTGCCAATTCCCCTCAGTAATCATTTCCGGATCAGGGGGCAAAATTGTGAAAAATAGACCAACTGGTCCCTTGTGGGGCGCCAAAATGTGCGCGTCAATCTCCACACTTCGTGATAAAATCGGTTTTCAAACACTTTAATTAATGAGTATTTTCTCGGCAAAATAACTCCGGAAGTTTGAAAATATAACGATAATTTATAATTTTCAACAAGCTTTATCATCGGTAACATCGGCCACAATAAACTGCATAACTCAAAGCAAGCTGCAAAAATGGCCAGTATTTGTCCTTGAGACAAATTGCTCTTTTTAAAGGTCAGCCATAACCAAGGCTGAACCAAATTAGAGCGAAAAGACGGTTAAAATGGGTTTTGGGGGGGACCGAACCTGGTTACGGGGCATCCCATCAAGTTCTGTGCACATTCGAGTTCTAGAAAGGAAATGCCCTAGTCGGGATTCGAACCGGCGCCGAACCCGCCGTGACGCACCATGTATACGCTTGGCTACTGTCCCTGTATGTATTTACTTTTATATGCATTTATACTCTCGCACATTTACATTTGCGCTGCAACAATGCCTCTGAAAACCTCCATCCATTTAGAAAAAAAAACCGTTGGGGACACAATCATAAGTTATTGATTACATTCACAAAACCACCCATTTTGAATCACCCTGTGTAAGTCGCGCTGTGATAAAGACCGGTTGTTTGTTCATGGGGTGCAAAAAAAAACAGTAATAATTTTAACGGCCATAAATTCTATTTTAATTACAAAATTTTGACTCATGGGGCTGACCGGGTGGCATGCCTTCAGGTTGCAGTTGCTTGCCTCCACACCCAGAATACCATTAAAGAAGGTCAGCACAAATTGGTTATATTTCCAGAACGTAATGTTAATTTTTGCAAAATAACCCTGTTTTTCGAACTGTAAAGTTCCAAATCATTAATTTTTTTATCTAGAAGTAAACTCTATTTTGCAATTGAACAATAATATTAACCTTGTCAATAGGTTTTGTAGTAAGACTCAAACCTTGTAGTAAGATCATTAATTTAGAATCGATTGTATCTTTTCATTTCATCGAACACAGAATTAAGATTGAGATTCGCCTTTGAAAGAACCGTGAAGAACCGTTTGAAAATCGTGGCTGCAAAAAAGCAGTCTAGAAACGACCGATTTTCTTTTGACGTTGAACTATTTCTGAGGAGTTCATGCAAAAGCGTAGTTAATCAGTATATTTTTAAATGATAAGTTTTGCCTAATTGTTGGTTATTTTTTTTAGGTTGTGGCGCTTGGGTTGTTTGTCTTGCAGTTTGCTTCTTCATTGGGCCATGGGGGTGTTGTCTCATCCCTTTCTGCGTTGACGGCTGCAAAGACACCTCCCACTATTGCCCCAACTGCAATGCATGCCTAGGATCCAAGTCCATGATGTGAAAAGAATATAATATGGAGGAAAAAACTGAAAATTTCATGCATAGAAAACTTCATGTTGAGAGGTGTGAAAATCCAGATTGAAAAAAAAAACAGATACGCACCGCTAAATATGGCGTTCACAATTTCTGACTGGAATAAGAAATGGCATGTTGATGTTTGGCCGCAAAAAACCAATTGATTCTTCATAACTACAATTCATTCTTAACCCCTCGTTGCTCAGCAACAATGATGCTCATGTGAGGTTACGGAGAAGCTCGGTTGAAAAATAAGTACAGGTGGTTCATTGCATAGGCACGAAAAGAAAGGTCCAACCAGGATTCAAACTTGTTCAAAAACAGATTATAAAGAGCAATTTAAATTAAAAAGAGATATATTAAATCATTTTTAGCGTAATATCAGTTGATTCAGTAAGTTTTTAATTCTCTTTTGATGATATAAATGCCGCCTGCTGTTGGGCCCACAAAAAAGTTTGCCTTTGCTTCACGGGTTAATGTATGTAAACTACCGTCCGTGGTCTACAAAGAATTAGATCGGACGACCAACCAACCGACTGAATTTTTCTGCTCATTTAATGTTGAGAGTGATAACTTCAAACAAAGTCTCGGCATTTGTATTTTCTAAAACCTCTAATCACCCTCTAGCTTTTGGGGATCCAATCTGCTCTCAAATTTTTGGGGATCTCAACAAAATCAACTTTTTTTTGGTTGAACAACTGCGATTAAACTTTTGTCAGGCTAAAACTGGCTCATCTGTTTGACTCATCTGCCTGACTAGTGCACCAAGCTTCTAATCACAAAAAAAAAACAGTTCAAATTTTTGGAGTGAATAAACAACTCTACCACCGTATTCGATGAAGCGTTCATCTTTTTTTGAAATATGGCAAACGAGCATCTCTTTGCATTGCAAAGAAAAGTAACAAGTTTGAATAGTAAGGATAATAACTTGAAATTCTAAAAAGGAGTTTTTTTTCTGATCGAGAGCGGGAGTATTTAAAATTTTGCTTTTTGCGACGGTAAGAAAGCCTGTCGATCGTTTCTTAGGTTCTCTTTTGGATCAGATGTTGTAAACCAGGCTGATACACGGACTTTGAAAATAGTGATGAAGCAATTTAGTATGGTATCAATTGTACTCTTACTGACAAAAATGGGTTTGGATTGGCTCAAATACCATTTTAAATTGATTTAATTCGAATAACCACGTACGTTTTAAAAGCTGAAATGGATTTTAAATCGACTTAATTCAATTCATGCAGGAAAAAGTGGATCGATTGTAGCGTCTAGAAAATCAATACAAGACTGCTCGTATCAGGGCGAGGCCCTGAAGGTTCCGACTGCCTTTTAAGGTTTATGGAGCAGCAGTAATAACATAAAAAATGAATTTTTTTTTTTCCAAAATTTGAAATTTTTTGTGAAAACCATCCCCCCACACGCCATATGAAGTACAAAAAGATAGATTTCTATCCTTGTAACAAATCAATTAGGGCAAATAAGCTTCGTTCAACCAATTTGGAACGATTTATAACACGGATTAAATCTCCGCTTTCGCGGTATTAGCGTGAATTATATCGCGCGTTAATTGTCCCAAATTGTTCAAAATGGCCAAAATGGCAATCTTTAAACCATCATAACTTTACGCAAAATGATCACAGGTGAAATATTTTTTCAAATTTAAGTTCAAGACAACAATAGCTTTCGAATGATAAAAAAAATTCGTCAAAAATGGCTAGTTAAAAAGTCGAAATTTGTCTGAAGAAAAAAAAACCCACTCCGAGCACAAATATTCCGTTACTTTCGTATCAAAAGTCGGAACAATAAGTCCATTAGATAATTTTGGTAGCTTCGTAAACTTTCAATTCAATCTTAAGTTTTTCTTGCTCCAAAATTTGAGGAAAAACTTAAATCCAAAAAAAATCTCCGTCGGTGTAACAAGGATCTACAGAAACTTCGAGAAAAGTTTCCCGCCTCAAATTTGATATTTCAGAGGATATATGGAAAAATCTGCAATGTTCGTGTTCCCGCCAAAGCTCACTGAAATTTGATTACAATATGCAAAGTGTTACTCAGTTTCTCAAGTCTAGTTGAAGAAAAAACATTTCAGAAAAAGGTTGAAAAAATACGTCTGTCTCTTGATGTTTTGTTGTTTAAAATTTTAGTAAGGTGACGTCATTATTTAAATGAGAGATTCGATACAACTAACTCATTCAGGCAGAATATTTATTTGATTGAGGTGTAAATTCCAGACCGATTGCAGGATTTACTTTAGCAAAACTATATGATTGTCTGATTGTTCAACCCATGTGGTTATAAAAGCCTTTGGTGTTTGCAGAAAACTCGCGTGGCTTATAATCAAAAATCTGAGGATAGCCTTCAGCTCCTGCCCCGCCATACGCCAGAGTCAGCCCATAGTCAGTTCCAGAAGTTAGTCCGGAAATGATACAGGGGTTTATCGGAAGTTGAATGTCTTAATGCTGTTGGGGAATGAATGATAATCGTGTGTGCAATAAGGCTGGACCGCCAGAGATTTCTATCTCTGTGTCACTCACGCAAAAACCCATCGCAATTGAAACAACAACGCAGTCAGAAAAACGGGAAAAAAATTAAATCCAAAAACCAAAGCAAAAAAAAATTTTTCTTCTTTTAAATTGTTTCTGACTTTTTATACAAGGAAAGTTTTAAAACAACAGTTTCTGGAGATCACTGTTAGAGAACAAATGATGACTGTTTTCAGATGTATTTCAAACAATACTTTTTCCCCTGCCCCTAAACCCGAATAAACTATTTTAATGGTGGACCAGCGTTTTGGAAATACAGTGATTTCCAGAAAACAATCACGCTTCACCGGTTTGGCCGTGTCGAGTTCCGCGACACTTTTTTTCGTTCGCGTCGACTTTTTCGCTCGCGTCGATAATATTTCCACGAACGAAAATTCACACTACCCGGTTTGACCTCCATAAACCGAAAATGCTTATCTTACATTTCCCCACACCGAAAATGCTTGTCATACAATTGCCTACGTCAAATGTACAGAAAAATGATAATCATACAATTTTCATACAATTTTTTCAAAAAATTTCCAAGTAAAATTGAAATTGCCCCAAACATTTTTTCGTTTTTTTTTTCAACCTCAAATCGAATTTTGTACTCAAACAAACATTTTCCAAAAAAAGTTGCATGCAAATTTTAATGTTTTGTATGCATAACGTAGCCCACGATGCACAAAAATTGGAGTTTTTCCGTTTCTCTGGATAACTTTTTTTAAACAGGCTAAAACTCTTGTTTTTTTTTGTATGGCATGTTTATATATGCCTTGATCAATGTTTGATAAATTGAAAATTCAATTTAAAAAAAAATCATCTTTGAAACCTGGAAATGTCAACCTGGACTTTGTTTTTTTTTCTTTCAGTAGCGGACAAAGTCGTGTGATACCGACCAAAAACACCCAATTTTGTTCATGCATCCACCTGGTCAAAAAAAACACTATCTTAACCCGATTAGATTGAGTTATTCATATTAGACTCAATGTCTGTCCAGAATTCTTCACCTCACACCGTATATATGTATATTTAACTGGCTTTCTGTCCAAGTAAATGTAACATAATTTACAATTAACAACATCAATTCAAATAATCAATATTAGCAATATTCAAGGAAATTTCTTGAAAAAAGTCACGGTAAGATTCAACCTCGGATTTTTGTCAAAATCTAACCAGAGTTTACACAATAAGGACAAAGTAAAATCACTATGCCTAATTCTACTTTAATCAATTCAAAATAAATCCAAGAAATTTCAAATATCTGTTAAATCGCCATAAAATCACAGTTAATACAGGTTTTTTTATCGCAATTATCAAGCTAATAATTGAAAGAGGACTATGTTAAAGGAAAATCAAAGACAAGTTTAAAAACCTACATCACTTAAGGTAGAAGTTTTTATCTTCATCATGTTACTAGTACTAAAGGTTTCCTGCTTAAACAAAAATTACAAGTTCTGGAAAGTATTTCACTTTATTTATAACAAAAATGAAACTATTGATGTAATATGAATTTGTGCCACATAATTACCTATAATTGAGTGAAACTTAAAAAAATCATATCTGTTTGATGATGAAATTCAACCAAAACTTCTTTTTTTTTAGTCAACAATCCCGAAAGCCTAACCCGAAGGTTAGTTATTTAGGTTGATAAGAGCGCATATAACCAGCACCCATTAAGCTATGTTTTACTTCCAAGAGCTCACCTTGCAAATTGCAGCGCACGTGCGATTTGATC